CAATTCTAATTTGATGTTGACAGAATCACACGCAGATCTGGTGCCTTCATTTTAGCGCATTTTTTATGGCAAAATCTACCTATTTTTGGATTGGTATATAATTTGTAGTAAAAGTGTGGACTACACGGGTAAATAACAAATTATGAACATTTTTGGTAATAAAGTTTGATATATGGTATAGATAGGTAAAAATCCCTTTTAAATTTCTCCCCTCAAATGGTTCTCAAATTTATGTCAAGACGCGTGTTCTTCTCTATTGAATTTTTGAGCTTGAACTTGGAAGTCCGAAAACAGAGCTAAACCAGGTTTGTTTTATTTTCATAGTACTTGTCATACATCAAAACTTTAGTTGGATACAAATCATAAACAATCCGATATTAGTTTTGCACATAGCAAAAATTTCTTCTGGGATTGACTAATGCCTGTTACCTGTTCGATAGAATGTTTGTATAAGATGTTATTTATGTTCTAGTGATTAGATTGCTAAATTTTGGATTTTATTGAAGTAAAGCACTATAGTTGGGCCTGTTTGTTTGGATTTTTCTTATATGCTGAATAAATCGGTTCTACCAGTATAAAGAATATTTATTTTTTAGTGAATAACTTACTGATATTTTAGAATAATTGATTAGTCTTTAATTAGTTGTCTAGTATTTACGGAAAGAAAAATATCACAATTAATTGAAAATCCAAGCCAGACAATGTCTGATATCTTGTAAATCTCCGAGCTAGTTCTTGAGTCCATTTTGCTAGAGAAGTTCGTTTGCACGTTGCTCAAAATGCTAAGTTGTCATTGTACCCCGCAGTTTTTCCGAACTGGAATGAAGCAAATCATCATTTTCTCTTTGAAGCAAAATAATAAAATGTTAGCAGGTACATACCCTTAATGATATCATTGACGTAAGGCTTTGGCAGAGACCAATTTCAGACCCGTAGGTCTGAAATTGGGAACTTTAGACCTTTAGACCTGTGGATTTCAACTTCAGACCTGCATTGTAAATTTCAGCTATTCTTTAAGTAGGGGGTCCTAAAAACGGTTGTTTGTGCACTTCGCTAAATTTGTTCGTTACTTAAAATTTGAGTTTCACTTATTGGACGCTTCCCAAGAAGAGCCCTCAAATGCTTCGTCTCTTATATTTGTGCCACGCATTCAGAGAAAGACACAACACACTTCTCTATATTTGCTCTGCTGAATTTCAGTAAGGAAAACCTAAAGAGTCGTCCAAATCTAGGTTGCTCGGACTCTTTACTTTTGGTGCCACACCCGTGTCGACACGACATGGGTGTGGGTGTGGGATCCGTACCGGATTTGGTCAACCGATTTTGGGTGCTTTGACCAAAATCGACCGAAGAATTCGGGACGAATATAATGATTTCTGAAATCAAAACAAAAACGAGGGTGAAATTGAAGAAAAAGGAATACCTTGTATATAGAAACTTCTGTGTCAGTCAGTTTCCTTTTATTTTCTTCTTGGATTCTCCTTTTGATCATTAATCTCTCTTTCTCGGAATACCTTGTTAGTTTTCCTCATCATATCTCATAATGTAGTCGTATTTTTGTAACTCTACTTTTAGATATTTGTATTATTTTTAGCCGAATACCCGCACCCGTATTCGTATCTGGATCCGTACCCTCCGAATCTTAAGATTTAGATCATGAAGGATCCGACCTCTAAATTAACACCCGTATCAGACACCCGCAACCGAGTCTGAGCAACTTAGATCCAAACACACATCTGATTCAGGTTTGTTTAATGTTACTTGTTATATATGAAGCATTACCCTTTTCAGACCTTAAATATGTCTTGTTAGCCTTGCGAATTTGGTAACTTTCGTTTAGGATTGACCAGTGCTTGCTACTTGTTCGATGGAATGTTAAACATGAACCTGTTTTTAGTGCAATTGGTATTGGGCTGTCTTGATGGAAAAAACCCTTTTGGTTTCTGGATCAATCGAGTGAAATATTGCGAGTAAATCGCTAAAATTTGAAAGAATTTGTAGGAAGCATGAATTTAGTATTTGCATGTATTTGAGGAGGAAGTAAAGCATTAAGATGATGTTTTCATGGAGATGAAGATGTTAAAGCCTTGTTTAGTATGTTGTTTTTATGTGTTTTGCTTAGCTTATTTCTGCTA